AAAGATTGCCTGAGTAGTTATTGAACTGCTCATGAAAGGAACTGAATGAGGCCAGGAGGAATGAGGCCAGGATGACAATTACATCGCCACCAGACGTGTTGTAATCACATATCTATATATAGTAACAGTGGGCTCAGTGGGCCACTGTAAAGGATTGTCGTCAGCCACCAGAGAGGCTTCATCAGCCACCAGAGAGGCTTCGTAAACCTTGTCAGGCTTATCAGAAAAGCTTGTTTGGTGTTACTGCAACACCGCCAAACTTGGTGATGCTTTACTGAATCAGCATAAAATTAGGGTATTCCTAAAAATCTGTTATTGTATTGAATGATTCAATATTCATGTTGTAAACCACTTACACATTTTTTTAGCTCCAATACATCCCTGTGAGATTAAGATACTCATGTTTCCATGACAGTGGATATTGCTGCAGTAGAAAGATGCTGAAGACTGATATTTATTATGATAAGCCTCATAAAGATCATGATCTAACTTCTGACTTAAGCCTCATAAAGATCATGATCTAACTTCTAACTTAAGCCTCATAAAGATCATGATCTAACTAAGTCCCTATTAGATATTTTGAAAGCTGACAACTCTTGTGTAGTAATACATTTTTTAATGACAACTATCTTAGTTGCTTATGGCAACCAGTCACTTGATAAGTAACCTCACTGCTGGCTTAATATCTTTTAATAAGCCTGGATATTTTAGAAGTGGTTTTATTTAAATTTTGGGGTGAAATTATTCACTTCTTCATATTTCAGTAGGTCGCTCCTGAGACATAGTTTTAACTTGCTCTATTTTAATTTGCTCTATTTTCTAAGTTCTTATTATCCAGTTTGAGAATGTGAATTCCTCAGATTTTTATCTAGGAGATTGCATGCCCTAAACCAGACACTGAAGCCCTGGGGTATTGCTGTTGTCCTAAGATTTAAACACTTTTGAGAATGTTAACCTATGTAGGCTTAGTAAATTCAGAAGCTGTAAGTGCTAACTTATTCTTTGTGCCAATAGCAAATTGATCTCAGCATGACTTGAAGCTCAAAAAAACTCCCAAACAAACTCAATCCATGTCAGCAAGGTCTTACTGTATGAGCCTACAAACTATTCCATATGTGATAATAAGGTTTTATAAGATAAAAATAGCTCTGACAAGCCCAGTATGAGCACCTAGAGGTGACAAGGAGGTCAGACATCAGAAAAGGCTTAACTTATAATCATAAAACCTGTAAGCTCTTATCTGTTGAAGCTCAAATGAAGACAGAACTCCAAGAGAGACTTTGAGCTCATGAAGGCTACAATGAGCCTATTAGTTCCCTGAAATACTGAAACCCTTTATAAATCTCTGTGACAACTAAAGTCCCTGTATTAACTAACCCCCAGAGACACCTAGCAGCTGTGCCTAACACCAATCAGTAACACGATGACCTGCCTTGTGATTCATACATAGCCAACCTCTCTATTGATTTTCTAAACTTGTCTTGATCAACCCATTTCAGCTTTTCTCATTTTCCTTCTCACCAGTTCTCCGAACCCCATTTTGTCTTCGTCACACGGGAATGACAGAGAAAAAAACCGCCCAGTTACTAATCTAAAGTCTTCCTAATTTCATTATCCTGTTGTTGTTAAATAGTTAATTCTCTGCTTTGTGTCGTGTTTGCAATTCATAACTGGATGCCAACCTGATAATATGTGCTAGTGGGTCAGACAAGCTATCTACAATACAACACCTCCAGGGAAATCTAAGTGTGTTATTGGGTCAGGCCTGTGAATTTGTATCATTACCTCTTACATAACGGCAAATTGATCAATACCTGTCTCTACCTTAGCAAACACTGAGCCAGCACAATCAGCAAATTGTATTTGGAAAAGGGTTGGGCAATCATTGGTCCCGTTCTTTTCTGTTAAATTCTACTCCTTAAGGTGTCACTATTACATAACATCTGTGTCAGATAATTACTCAAGTTTTGCTCTTATTTAGCAAGTCAATTTAAAAAAACAATCAATGAGTTATTTGAATTGGTGCTTCATCCCCAAAAGGCATTTCCAAATTTCAGATTTTAAAAGTTTTCTTTCAAGAAATATGAACACATCTGTCTACTTGTAAATGAATAATAAAACACCAATTTGACTATTGGAAAGTTTTCATTTAAGTATCAAAGCTGTTTTAAATAAAGCTTCATTAGTAAAACATCAAATCTCTGACAGTGAAATCTGTACCAGGAGAAATCTATCTTTACAGTGAACATACAGGGAGAAATCTATCTGAACAGTGAACATACAGGGAGAAATCTATGTTAGCAGTGAACATACAGGAATATATCTATCTTAGCAGTGAACATACAGGGAGAAATCTATCTTAGCAGTGAACATACAGGGAGATATCTATCTTAACAGTGAACATACAGGGAGAAATCTATCTTAACAGTGAACATACAGGGAGATATCTATCTTAGTAGTGACCATACAGGGAGAAATCTATCTTAACAGTGAACATAAAGGGAGAAATCTATCTTAGCAGTGAACATACAGTGAGAAATATATCTTAGCAGTGAACATACAGGGAGAAATATATCTTAGCAGTGAACATACAGGGAGAAATCTATCTTAACAGTGAACATACAGGGAGAAATCTATCTTAGCAGTGAACATACAGGGAGATATCTATCTTAACAGTGAACATACAGGGAGAAATCTATCTTAACAGTGAACATACAGGGAGAAATATATCTTAACAGTGAACATACAGGGAGAAATCTATCTTAACGGTGAACATACAGGGAGATATCTATGTTAGCAGTGAACATACAGGGAGATATCTATCTTAACAGTGAACATACAGGGAGAAATCTATCTTAGCAGTGAACATATAGGGAGATATCTATCTTAACAGTGAACATACAGGGAGAAATCTATCTTAGCAGTGAACATACAGGGAGAAATATATCTTAGCAGTGAACATACAGGGAGAAATCTATGTTAGCAGTGAACATACAGGGAGAAATCTATCTTAACAGTGAACATACAGGGAGAAATCTATCTTAGCAGTGAACATACAGGGAGAAATCTATCTTAACAGTGAACATACAGGGAGATATCTATCTTAACAGTGAACATACAGGGAGAAATCTATCTTAGTAGTGAACATACAGGGAGAAATCTATCTTAACAGTGAACATACAGGGAGATATCTATCTTAACAGTGAACATACAGGGAGAAATCTATCTTAGCAGTGAACATACAGGGAGAAATCTATCTTAACAGTGAACATACAGGGAGATATCTATCTTAACAGTGAACATACAGGGAGATATCTATCTCATCAGTGAACAGAAAGGAAGAAATTCATCTCAGCAACAACCATACTGGGAGAAATTTATCTCAAAATTAAACAATAATATAACAGGTAGAAATTTATTTCATTCACATTTACACGACATGGGTGTGAAAATGACGTTGATGTGTACATCTTAAAAAGTAGGATTCCCAGTATAACCTTTCTGTACTTGGATGCACCGCATCCCCACATCCCTGAGCCTGCTATCTTCATCAATGCAAGGAAACGCTATGCCACCCAGATCAATGATCTTACTGGCTCCAGCCTTTATGCCCTAATACTTTCACTAAAAGCTGTTTAATTGTTCCCCTGACAGAAATCAATTATGACATTTATGCTTACCTGTACAAATTTACCTCCCAATCAGAAAAGAGTTCCAATGTATTCCATATCCTACTACATGTAGTCACATTTACATCATGCATTATTTATGAGCTTCAACAAAATTACCATCTTTATTAAGTTTTATTGTATTTTTCATTTGGTTGATAATACTTGTCCAATTATTCTAAATTGCATTCAAGCTACAACTTTTAGAATTTAAAATTTCATTCAAACACAAAACATATAGGTGAGATATTTAATGTGTCTTAAAGATTTTTCTTTAAAGTATGATGGACGTATGCAAAACAATATCCCTTTTCCCACAATTAATCTATCAAAAGTAAAAAGGAACTGTGGAGTGAAATAACAAGTTAGCTTGTGTGAAATGATTTTAGTGTATGTAAATTAAATTCAAAACCTAATTATCTATGCTCTAAGCAACAACAAATTCATTTGGCAATTTCACTGTCAAATGGAAAGGAATATGATGACCGCTGATTATGAAATATTGATCTAGAAAATTGTATGAAAATCTGTTTGTTTTATTTACTAATGGTAGAAGTACAATATATTCATGCAATGCTTTCAACACCTTCACTTAATATATTATAATTATCTATCATTTCTTGACAGTTTTCTGGGCATTTTTTTCTAAATAAAATATCATATATATACTACAAATCCAACAGGGCCTATACACTACCTCTGACACATAGTCAGGGGTGGATTTGTCACAGGATAATATAGCATTTGTTGATGTTAAAACTGAAAAGCACTAGATATGAGTTGGCATATTACCAGGCACCAGATCATTTCTGGTATAAACACAGTCATTTTGAATATAATGAAGATAAAATTGAAATTTTGGGAAGACTTTTTGTTTTTTAAAATCTATTTTGCAGTTCCTTGTGTTAAATATGTCAATTATGAAGTAAAAAGTTATTGAATAAATACAAGTATTCACGTATCTGGTTTGAAGAAAGTCATTCTTCAGAGTCAGAGACAACAATAATAACTTCCATTCTTCTTCAGTAATTAATACACTCAAATTCAAGCACAAAGCTTGTACCACAAACCACTGAATATCAAGATGGTTATTACTTGTGATGGAACTCACAATAGGAAATACCTGTGGTGGCAGTTTTACTGAGAAAAGATGTCTAAAATTTAGGGTTAACATTTCCACAAAATAAAGTGTTAATTAACAAGTCATTGGTTACAATGGTAGCCAAAAATCCAAAAAACATCTAGAATAATCAGACTCTATATCAAACTTTTTCCTTTTGAAAAGATCCTAGCTAATTGTCATTTAATAAATTTCTGAATATAAATACTTACAGAAGGCGCAGAGGACTGGTCTCACGAAGTAACACTCTACCAGTCGATGAGGCACCTTGGGAACTTCTACAAAATAGCAAATAAGGAAACCATTATAGTTATGGGTAAATGTTACTAGTACTTTGTATTCATGTCCAGCCATTACATGCTATATATGGTGCTGGTAATCAATTGTGAAAGAATTTGTCACTGTGGAAAAAATTTTCTAATAGATTGTTACGGTTTTGAACAACATGCAGAGTGAAAAATTTCTGCAGAATATCAAGTTTATAATGCTGTGGTAGAAGTGTTTTGAGTTCCTTATGACTTATCGTTTACTGAAGCCCACGAGGTCTATCTGAATAGGAAATATCCTTGAATCCTGGGAAGGGCTTGGTTGCTCGTCATTGTACTGTGTCAATCATATATGTTAAACTCTATACAGATGCCATACAGTATTCGAATACTCAAAATGGACTCTGACAACTGGGAATTTATATGGTAAAGAGACGTGGTGTTCATTCAGAAAATGTCAAATATGTCTAATAACAGCAAACATAGAGTAACTGTATGTTCATGAAACAGAACATGATTTTTTATGACTTCTTTGGGCTGATAATGGACCCCATTCTCAATTGAAATGATCACATATTCCAAAAATTTGTAATTTACTCCAGAAAATTTCCTTCATAATCACCAATTTTCTTCCCAAAATGAGGGGAAAATGTTCCATCCTTTGCCAGCTCTGCAGATTGATAAATAATTACCATTTTCTTTATCCTGTTATGGAGTGTTTTTAATATAATGGTTTTCTCTTGTTGGCCAACCGATGTATACAGATTTACAATATTGGTTATATATGCAATAATCTATCACTCCACACTGACAAGTCTGTCCAGACCCAAGAATGCTTACATCAGATTTATCATACTTTTTGAGAAAAGAAAAGATTCTTATCATATTGCATCTGGAAAGTCATTTATTTCTATGACAAACAATACCAGCCCAAGAACAGAAGTTTTAATGGTCAATCTGATACATTTGTAGCAGTAAAACCAAGTAAAATCACTGATTAAGATACACTATTGATACGCCATAAACCCAAGCTCACTTTCAAGCTGAAAGCAAACTGTGTATTACCACAGCGTTTGAAAAACAGTGTTCTCTTCTGAAAAAATGTAGCAAGGATATAGTAACTTAAATCCCCTGCCCAGTAAAAAGCTGAAGAATGTAAGGAACCATGAATTTAATTATAAAATGATAATTCTGTTATCACTAGAGACAAATGAATTTTTCATTTTGACTATTTGTTGCCATGGTAATTTGAAAACCTAAAAATTTGGTGATTCCACTAAAACATTAACTACTTAAAAATCATGACATTTTTCAATGAATGGAGTTTGAGAAATTACCTTTAACAGCAATACTTTGAAAATGCAAACGTAGCTATTTTGGTTTTATGCTTCCATGGTTACTAGGAAAAAAGTAGAAATTTTATCAGTGCAGGACACCTCCAAATTGTGATGTCCTTGAAGTTGATACACTAGTGTCACAGCAAAGCAAGATATTTCAAAGCTGATAGAATTTAACCAGATTTTCTAAACCCTTAATACTCCAATTCAAAACTGATGGAGCTGGTGTTCATTTTCAATGTCTGTTGGTCTAATTTCATTTATGATATATCTGAAGTAAAACCCTCCTTATTTGAACTCCTCAAGATCATCTCAATTACAAAATAAATACCCTATCCTTTGATCAGTTCAGTTTACGATTGTTTGTAAGTTTTGACTAACTCGTGAACTACTGATCTGCTGTGTCACTAATGTTATTCATTAGGAAACTAGTTTTTTGTTGCGTACACGAGTTGTACATATTCTTGTTTTATTTCAATGATAAACTATACTAAATTTTATATAGTTAACCCAGCTGGGTCAAATGCCTAAAACCTTGTCAATAGTTCAAGGAAAATACACATATTCGAACAATTTGTGAACACCCAGTGTCTGGGAATGACAAAGTCAATACCCTATTCATTGATCAGTATTATGCTGAAAGTTTCAAAAACTTATTTTTTGTTTTTTTTTTTTTAATTTTACTTAGGAGAAATGTGCAATTTGTCATTCATGGCATGGATCATTTATGGTAAAATGCAACATGCAGAAAGGACATTGCTGAGAAGGACAGCAGAATGATGAAAATTTTTGCATCATCTGACTTGAGCCCAAGGTGCCAACATACAAAGTCTGACACGAGCCTGAGGAACCAACATACAAAGTCTGACACGAGCCCGAGGAACCAACATACAAAGTCTGACTCAAGCCCAAGGACCCAACATACTAAGTCTGACTCAAGCCTAAGGACCCAACATACAAAGTCTGACTCTGAGTCAGGAGGTGACCTTATTACAAGACAAAAATATTTAATTGCTTGCTTATGATTCAACAGAAACCCAATAGATATTTGTTGTTTTTTTACCAGGAACTACTAACAATACTGTAAAATATCGATAATTTCAAAACCAATTAAAAATTTTTATAACCTTGTATCAAAAAAAAATATGTCTGCTGTAACTGTTGATATTATTGAGGTTTTTCATTTTTCATATATTTTTCAAATCTTTCAAGAGCGAATAAACTTGTGAAAGTAATAGTTTGAAAATTAAACTAATAAAGTAATCAAAAGCTGTTTCATGACTTCAGTGAAATTTTTTTTGTGATTTATTGATCAATATAAGCATACAAAATACACTTTGAAAAATAATATATATACCTGCTGGCAATTACAGTGGTTATATTGCTCAACAGATGATTTCAAACTCTGAGGAGATAAAATTACAATTTAAAAAGACATGAATCCAAATACACTAGATTTAATATTTCACATTTTTGACATTTCAGAAATTTCTAGGATTATACAAGCCATTTTACACTTGCAGACTGTGATCCCTGTTAATAAATCTACTGTTCTCATCATTCAGTGAAATTTAAATACAATATCACAGAGATGACTAATTTACTCAGTAATTCAGGTAAGCTTTGAAGCTTACATATAAGTATAGATGACATAATTGTTACATTTCAAGCAATAGTAGGTAACAGAATTTTCCCCTCGCACAGAAAGGCTGAAACACTCACACGAACAACCACTTAAATCAATGAGACCCATGAATGCATGCAAAAAATATCACAGGAAATGCATTTGCCACAGCTCTGCATAATAGCATAAAAAATGTGTTATATATTTATATATACAGTCAAAAATGAAATCTTTAAACCTAATGCAATATGAAACAGTAAGTGTCCCTTCTGTAAAAAAAATAATCCACAGGAAAGAAAATCCAGAAGCCATGTTGATGATTTTTACCACAAGTGGGATATCGAAGATAAAAGTATGGATATAATTACTTACCACGAGAGAACACATAAAAGACATAGTAGTATGGGTGGAGATAGAATCCGTGCTAGGCTTTACCGCTAGCTGGCTAAGACTACCAACACTGTATAGTGTATGCACACACATGGCCCACTGTACATAGAGCCTGGCCCACTGACCTACTTACCCAGTTGTATGTTCACATAGAGCTTCGCTACAGGACACAGGTGGGATATAAATAGCATGAGATGGGGAGGAGGAGATGTGGGGAGGGTGGTTACAAATATTCGTTTATTAATATTTAACTTTGATTATACCCTGACCTTAAAATAAATCTAAATCACATACCGTATAGATTCTTGAGGTAAGTATTGAATTTCTGATGTATGTTCTGGGGAACCAAGTAACAGTTCTAGTTCAGTACCATAGAGATGCATGTGGAGTTTTACACAAATACATCACATTATATAGTATTGATTGGAATTAAATAGAGATCAAATTGACACTGATTGATCTGTGTACCTTTGTGTAGAGTAACCAGAAAATTTAAAACAATTTAATAGGAAAGAGAGAAGGGACAAAATATTACTTCATTTAACATGAGGATTCAAACTAGTATCCAAACACTTAAAACAAGCACAAAATTTATACCAATATACTTTATGGTACAAAAAAAAACGCCTGAATAAAAATATCTTACCAACTCCGAAACTGCAAGGTTCATGTTTAATTATACTTAAATGCTTTGTACACAGTACTATTTAAAGAAGCAACTTGAAGTAATGGAACACAAAGCAAATATTTGAAAGGGGATTCACTTGATTTATACTATGTGTGTGTTTCCCAAAATAGTCTGCGTCTATTGGAAACCTTTGACTTTCGATTACATAACAGGTAGACATGAACTGAAGCTTCCCAATAATAAAGATTTATATATAGATCTATCTTCTTATCATATTACTAGTCTGAACAGAAGTATTTGTTGAGATAATATAAGTGTGTGTGTGTCCTTTAAATAAACCTGAATTCAAATATCTTATCAGTGAGTAGGTATTTGAACCAGATTTTAAATTTTAAAAAATAATTCAACTATCATATTTCTTATAAAGTTCTTCAAAGACTTAATTGAACATTGTGTTTTTTAATTTTTGGTAAAAAAATCAATAAATAAACAAAACAAAAAATGGACTTAAATGGGTGATTACTATCCTCGATTAATTAAATTGTTGGTGCCACATTTGATATTTTTAATGGGTCCAAAACTGACTGGCTTAAAATCCAATAAAACAAAAATTAGGTCTATTGATCGCCAGGCTATAAATACAGATGAAAATAAACATCTTGTTCTATATCCTACAAAATATTCTTTGTAACAAATAAATCAGCCAGACAAAAGTTTTGTGGCTATTAAATTATATCTTTACAACCATACTTCCACATACATGAATCACAAACGTAAATCCGGTGGATATGCACAATAACCAGTGATGTACAATAGAGGGATAGAAGCCTGTCTATATCTCTTTGTGATGTTATTGATAAATTTATTTTACTAGCCTTGTTGTGTTTAAAGTAGCCTTTTCAAAAATAAACAGAAGTAGAAAGCTGAATGATTTCAAAATGGACATACTAACTTTCGTGACAAATCTACTTTAGATGATTTTAAAACAAAAAGGAAGTTTTAAGTTATATACAATTAATGTATTTCATATATA